TTGCTTCACCAGGCTTCATCACCTGCTTTTCCAAACTGCTTTTCAATGATTTTTCTTTAAATGTGCCGTTTCTTTCTTGTCTCAGATCTGCTGATTTAAAAACAAAACAAAACAAACAAACAAACAAAAAGCAGGCTGTTTTCATATAAATAAATAAATGTTAAATAAATAAATATAAATAAATGTTCTTCCTCCTCCTAGAAAGGCTTCACTGCTGCCTTTTCAGGTGCTCTTTTCCTGACGCCCCCGCCTCTGCAGATACAGAGGATGCTGAGAAGCAAGAGGGGGCTGAGATTCCCCCACTTCCTGCGATTAACTCGGGAAGAGATCGAAGGAAGATAGACCAGGGGAAGCATCAGCATTTTCTGGCTGAGCAGCCCAAAGTAAAGGGGATTCAGTGCACATAAAAACAAACAAGGTGAGGCATCTTCACCATCTGTCTGAGAGGCAGTTTGAAAATTTAGGTGAGCAAGTGATGAGGACTCACAACACAGACTTCCAGCAGAAATGCATCATGAAACTGCTTTGAGTCAATAATGTTTTACTTATTCTAAGCCAAAATGAGGAAGGTGAATTTTTCAGAATGCCTTTTTTCTGGTCTGTTGAACCTGTTTGCTGAGTAGAACAGCATTGGCAAAAGATCTTATTATTTGCCAAAGCATAAAATTACTCAGCTCTCTTACTGCGAACAAGTAAGTACCACACAAAAACTGGTAAAGAAACACTACGAGCTTATAGCCTGCAGCCATCTGAAAAATAAAATTGTACGTGTACACATACATACAAATGTACATAAATGATCTCCTTCACTTTCCACATTCCTCCTTGACATTCACAAGCTTTTTAACTTCGTCACACCTCTTCCTATTCAGGTCCCCCAGGCGTGCCAGGCCTGACATGTGACTGCAGAGAACCACTCTGGCAGCTCCAGCTGCAGAACTGGGGCCCGTAATACCAAACAGCTGCCCCCAGAGATGGGGCTTCCCAAAGCAGGGGCTGCAGGGTCCACCTCATGAGACCTGTCACTCCTTTAGGCACCACTTTCCATGCTGAAGAACTCTGCTTTTTACTCCTCCTCTTCAGAATCACAAGGGTTAAAAGTTCACTTAAATATAAATTGGGAGGTTTTTTCTCCACCCCCTGCCCTCACTGGGTTTTTCTGCTTTCTCCTCCCACGCCACGGTGAGGAAAGAGCAGCATCTACGTTTGGACGTGAAACTCTGGTCTTACCAAGCAAAAATCCCACTCTCAGGAGTTACCACAGGTGTGTGTTTGCAGGGCCTTGTTCTGTAAAACACTTCCATCAATGTATTGCAGCATAAAGCAACTGCACAAGCAGAATTAAACATCCAGGAACTGCTGCTGAGAATTGCAGCTCCAGTTCTGCTCCCAAGCTCTGTCACAGTAACACCCTGGGCAGGTTTCTCAGGACTACATTAAGGGCTCTGTAAATCTGGGAAATACAGTACAAATTGCCAGTTGAGCCCTTTTTAGGGGCTGGAAAGCGCTCTGAAATCTCGAGGTGAAATCTCTTATGCTGCTGCAGCATTGACATCCATGCCAGTGAACAACGACCAACCTGAACGTGAGACGGCCAAGGAGGAGGTGAGGCACGAGAGCTGTCCTTCAGGGCATGTTCTCTCCCTCCTTTCTGGTCCAAAAGCTCTCCATTCCCAGACTATGAGAATTTCTTCACCCTTTTGATATACTTCTTAAACCTGTCAAGAGTCCTGCAATGGCTCCAGCAACCCACTGGGAAAGGCAAGGCTGCCCCTTTACAACAGGCCTGTGTCAGCACCTCCATTCTCAGCCTGTAAAGGAGTAGCACTCGGGGAATAATAATTCAGAAAGAGCTATGGGAAAAGAACTATGAAATGCAAGTTAGTAACAGGACTTTGGATGTGAGGGGAAAGTCTAGCACAGCAGCACAGGTGAGGCTGGAGTGAGAATGACGCACTCTCTCCTCGGTTAAATCCCCCAAGTCAGACTTTCTCTGAGCAGAGAAGACAGCAAAGAGAAGTGTTTGTTGTATGTGTAGAAGCTTGAAAACATCCTTGACTGGGACTGTCTTCTCCTGCCCCCAGTGAGGGGAGGGAAGGGAAGACCATCCCACCTCTCTGGAAGAATAAACCAAGAAAGATCATTCTCAGGGATTCAGCAGCAGTGAATTCCTCATGTTTTATACCTACACTGTTTCATCTATTTACGAAGTGCCTTGATGAGGGAAAACATGAACTGATGCCCTACATGCCAGAAGGAAACATGACAAAGTTTGGAGCTTCTCTAAAACTGAAGACCCTTTTCTAGGAAACTGGAAGTATAATATGATATAACAGTGTGTCTGGAAACCCTTTACTGCTTTGACTTGGCTTCACAGTTTGGAATTTAAGCAGCATCCCAACCCTCCCACAGCTCCTCAAATTAAAAAAAAAAAAAATCTTTGTGGTAGTCCATTATTACATGAGGCAGAACAAAATCTCTGGCACATAACACAGTCACCCACCCCAAAGTTGGCTTCCCTAATTGTTTCTCATCATCTACAGATTTTTGGGTTACGGTTTTCAGGGCGGTGGGGGGGAGGAAGATGGGCTTTTCTTTTTGTTTTGGATTTAATCTGTAACTGGAAGGTTCAAAAGAGATCCTCTGAATTGGGAGACTGGCTGGTGATGATAGTTCATAAACAAAAGTGGAGCAGATTTCTCATTTTAAAGAGCTCCAGCAAAACAGCAGCGAGCAAAAGTAACACAATCTAATAGCTGCATATCTTGTGAATGTCAGGAGAAAAAAGGACAATAACCAAGGGCAATGTTTGAGCAAACTGCACTTTAATTTGTTACTCACACCAATTAACAGTGTGGAAACAACCAAGAGGAGAAGGAATTTACTCAGAGCAAATGCTCACAACATTTTCCTTGATATTAATTCCATTAATAATTTGTTTCTGTGGATATTTGAGAGTCAGGCTAAAATAACAACATGGGAATAACAAATGGGACAGCGTGATTTGCTTTGTATGTTCAGGTGGGCTAAGGTCTGATTTCCCAAGAGTTTTGGTGTGACAAGAGGCTGAAGCTCTTTCTTTAAACTCAGGCAAAACGTTAACTTTGGGCCCAAGCTCCCAAAGCTGTTAGTTGTTAGTTTTATTTTCGAGACAGAGGGAAGGGATTTTTGCAGAAATGACCAGAGGATATTATCAAACAAAGAAGAGCTCTGCAGAGATCCTGCCATCCAGCCACTGCTACCCTGCAGGGCAGCGTGGAAGTGCAAACACCAGATGACAAATGCACCAACCCAGTGCCACACACACAAACGTCCCTGTTTTCCTTTGCAAAGCCCGATCTGATAAAGAAAAACACTTCCTGAAAGTGCCATTTTACGACGTTAAACAGACCTCGAACAACAAGTATAGAGGGACACTGACATTTGAACTGCAGGAGTTTTGTTTGCCGTCCTGTTTTACCCCCCCACTGTGAATATTGCATTTGAATAAGTGGAATTTTTAAAATCCCTCTTCCTCCTTTCACCATGATGTAATGCAACTGTTGCACAAAGAACAACAATGTGGAGCTACTGCTGCTGCAGCAGAGTTTGGCAGCGAGAGGGATTCGGGCTGGCACCAAACACCACGGTCTTTAAAATGAATTTGGCAGGCAGAGTGCTCTGCCACTGCTGCCATAAACAGCAGACAGGGCAGTAAATGGAAAAGTGCTGAAAGAGACCGTGAGTTTGCTGCTGGAACAAAGACGCCCATTAGGTAACCACTTAATGTAGCACCTCCTCACATGTGAAAGGTGAAGAGTTCTACAACGGCACGTCCAAATTAAGGGCAGTATCAAGGACCAAAGTGCCTTTCACGTGTCCATCATGCCCAACTGAGCCTAAAAAAAAAAACCCAGCCAGCTACCTGTCAGGCAGGACAATCTCTGTGCACAACTGCAAGTTCCACCCGGCTATTCGAAGAGAAACACTTGACCCACGCAAGAACACATCTGTCTCAACAATTTCTCTTTCCAGCCCCCTTCCAGTTATGCTTTCCCAGGAGGGAATTTGCTCCCATTCAGTGATGCTGGAACAGTGCTCTGGAAAGAGATGCACGTGTGGGTTTTCCTTTAATTTTTAAAGGCAGACGGAACAGAAGAGAAACGTGAGTTTTCCTTACGGTGTCCCTGTCGGCTTGAACTGAGAGAGTGTGGGCTGATTTTCCATGCTCCATGTAAGGGTCTGATGATTTGTGATGTGGACATCTGCCTGCAACTGGACAGATGCCACCAGCTTATTGCAGCAGACAACTCGACAGCCATGTAATTGCAGCATCTTTCAATTGCTACTTTATTTTTAGAAAAAAAGAAAAAACAAAAACCCACACCACCTCTTTCCCTGGCAGAAAACTCCCATATTCCATCCCAAATTTCATCAAATTTTAAAATTTCTTAAGTGTCAACTCTCCAATTAGAGGGCACCTTCACCAGGCAGATACAAGTCAGAAGCATGTGTGGTGCTGTAACAGCTTTTTGCCAATTTTGTTAGCACTAAAACACATAAGGACGTTCAAAGCAGATTTCAAGTGATTTAATCTGACCCTCAGTAGTAACTTTCATCAGCAGTACCAACAAGCACTCCCGCTGGGATATCCAACATGGTGTTTGAGGAGAGAGCCATACAGAAGTTACAGCCTCCTTTTGCAGCTTAACTAAGCAATACATGAAAAGCAAGAATTGGTGAAAACTTGGCTTTTTTCCCCCATCTTTAAAAATCAAACAAACTGAAAAAACCATTTGATCTGATTACGGCAACCTAATTTTTTCCCTGATGGCTTCAAATTCCTCAAAAAGAAGAAAAAAAAAATCAAATCTGAAAACAGAGGGCAACTTTTAATGACCACAAATCACAGTATCTTTTACCAGAAGATGTTTACAGCTTCAATGACAAAACCAGCATCTTAAGGTCCACTTTGTTTCACTGAAGAGCAGTTTCCTCCTATCATCTGATACACCACTTACCCTTGGGATCACCAGTCCATCCCTCTTCACAGAAAACCTGGTAACTCTAGTAAAAAACAAGTAAAAATCTAATTTCAGAGTGGTTTTTTTATACTAGTGCATATAAATAGAGTAATATAAAAATTGGAGCAAAAGTGTCTGAGCTGAGGTAAGTTACAGTACCACATTAATTTCTCTCAACTGCTAATTAGAGAGCCACCTTAAAATACTAACACAAATAAAACTGCTATTAGAAAAACAACCTGCTATTTCTTGAGTCAAATTGTCAGAGATGGCAAATTTGATGCCACAGTCCTGGCTTAGGGCTCTCCTCAGGGAGACCTGGATTCAGTTCTGTGTCAGCCACAGGTTTCCTGTTACCGCAGTAGTTTACAAAGCCAACTCATATTTAACCTGCTTGCCTCTGTTTCCCTCCTCTGTAAAACAGGGGTTTCTGCATTTTTTCACTTGTGAGCCTGCTGAGCTCAAAACAACAAAGACAACGTGCTGCACTCGGGTAAGTCAGCACAGGGGCACGAGGGGGAAAACTATAGGAGTGCCAAGGACAGAAAAGGAACACTACAACTAATAAAAATGCCACAAAAGCAAGTTATTTCTGACTTTTGCCTGCTACTTCACAACCTTTCTCTGCTCTCGTGCCCGTGCAGGGAGCAGGCACTGCCTGCAGTTGTCAGCACAGAACAGAAGCCCAAGTCTCACGTTCCTATTTCCTCCCAGACCACATAATCTCCCTCCTCATTCCAACACCCAACTTTTGCACGGTTAAATTCTCCCTTTCATTCACATTTGGCTGCGTGGCTCCCCTGCCCCAGTCACTTCACCCCAGTGGGTCTGCTCCTCCCCTGGAGCGAGAGGGGCAGGTATGCCGTGCATCTTCTGTTCACACGAGGCATAGCCAATCTGCTAACCCCTGGACAGCTGCTGCTTTTACAGCCTGTCATCACAAAGGCTGCCTGTGTGCCTCCTTGGAGGATTTTGATTCTTTGGGAGCCCAGCAAACTGAGTTCATTCAGTTGAGCTGCAAAGGAGCACGGGATTGAAATGCCGCAATTAAGAGAACCGGCCTCGCTTAGTTCAGCTTCTCTCCACAAATGAGTGCAGGGGATCATCCAACATCTTAAAATCCTGAATCCTTCCCTACCAACACAGTTCCTGAAGGTTAATAGGGTGCATTTTCAGCAACAGATAGTGCAGAGTAAATGGGTGCAAAGATCCCAAACTGCAATTCACCTGTGCCAGAACCTCCACCTCTAAAACTGGTCCAGGAACGACTTCCTCAGTGTTCACGTGCAGGTGTCAGCAGGGAGGAAGCTCACAAAGACACAGATCAGTGAGAAGATAACACAAAATCAGAAGAACGTGTGACACAAAAGTAAAAAGCTCCTGGGACACGTGCCTGAGAAAAGCCTTTTGAAATGTTATGGAGTCCTACTGAAAAAAACACAATCTCTGTTCCTTTCTGTGCACTGGATAAGAGGAAAAACCAAGCAAACAAACCCCACAAAAACGTTCAGCAAAACTCATAAACAAACAAGGTAGGTTTCTGCTAGAATTACACTCCATCTGTTTCCCTCTCATTCTCGTGGACTGCCCCCAAGAACTTGAGTTGCTGGCCTGTTGGGGAAAGGTTAACACCATCTAACTGGAAAAGGCAACTTTTTCCTTGTCCTGTCACACACCACTTTCCCAGTAAATATGTGGGAAAAACGCCTCTAAAAGCATGTACACACACCCTAAGCTAAAGTCCAGGTTTTAAGCAAAGCAGCCTGACAGAGAGCTGCAAGAGTTAAGATTTTTCTCAGAGCTGAGCATACATTTTTCCAGGCAAGCAGCTGAATCATGGATATTTTAAAGAGTAGTTTATTAAGCACAATATAGCATATCTCCTACTCAGCTCCATAAAATGTGTCCAGTGCTGTACAAAGCATTAAAAAGCATTTAAATCTGAAACTTGCTGGCCTCCACTGGCACAGCAGAAGAATTGAGAGAACTAATCTAACAGCTGTCTGGAAGCAGAGTAGATTTATACCGTGGGTTTAGTCATTAAGAGTAGTTATCTGACTTACACCAGAACACTGAATGAGTCCAGTGGTGGCCTCTAGACAAATGCAATGTATGGCAACACCCAAAATACACTCCTGACTCCAGGATGCTGAAATTAGTTGCCTTGCTTTCTAGAGGAAGCATTCCAATTTGGTTAATAAAAAAAGAGCAGTCAAAAAAACCCAAACAAACAGAAAAAAAAAAGCCAGATAAAGGCTACATACAAGTCAGTTTACCAAATATCTAGATACAGAATGGTTCTGTTGGTCTTTTGCATTGCTATGGAACCGAATTTACAGGCAACAGCCAGCAACTGAAAACTGGCACGACTTAACAGCCCAACACTTTTCTGCTTCCTTGTGTATGTTTATTTTTTAAGGGGAAGAGGAGATAACATCAGAGAAGCAGCAGGATAAACAGCATCACTGGCTGTAAGGAAACTTATATCTAAGTATGTACTTGAGACTGCAGCACATGGCAAATACTGCTAATTGGGGTTAGAATTCACATTTGAAGTTCAGTGAATTCAAGGGAAAACCAGAGTTATGTGAATACTGCGTGAATCTATTAATAACTGAGTACACAAATGAAATTCTAGAAAGGCTGGCAAAATTACCCTCAGTTACACCAAAACCGCGAGTTTGTGCCAAGAAAAGCTCTATGGTTTTTGACAGGAGTGCTCAGGTGGGTGGAAATTCAGGGGAATTTCATTCCCAAAGGGGGTTTTCCTGTGGCACCTCCTGCCATCTCCACTCCTCCCAGCATCAGAGCAGCCTGATGACCACGTGCACTGCAGGGCTGGAGGACAGCAGAGCTTGGGAGGCAACCAAGAAGACTTCTGTGGATATTTCTCACGAGGAGAGAAACTAAAGATATCATAACCATAAATCACTCCATCCTCATATTCTGCCAAGAGCAAGGCAAGGTGCTAAGAAGCTTTTCACCGTCATTTTGGTTAAATGTTTTTTAAAGGCTGGCACTTTTGAAGACTTCTATCAAGGACAACACTGAGGTAATGTGAAAGCTGAGCCTGGCTTCTCCTCTCCACTTCCCATTCCATCCCCAGGCCCCTCTCCCTGCAGCTGATTTGGCAGGCAGGCGTTGCAGAGCCAGTGTCCCATCCAACACTGCTACGGGAGTGTTCCTGAACATGACTGATTTGCTAATGATACAAATCTCCAAACAGCATGTTAGTACTGCTGGTGATTTATGAAATGCCAGAGATCCTTCTCTCACCAGCGATAAGCTCTTCTGAGCTGGTGGTTTTGTACGAAACCTCCCGAAATTGCTAAGGCCGCTCTCAACTCCACCTCACTCCCAGAGAGTGCAGAGCTGCAGCAGGGATTTCTGTAATGGACTGCAGGTTATGTGCACACACAAATAATACAGAGAGTCAGATTATGAATTCTTGCATACTTTCATATGCAAAAAGCCCAGAGTGTGCTTTGGAACACAGACAAGCCTCACTGGGCAAACACTCTGCTTGCTCTGCTTTCCTCCCAGGATGCAAGTGCACACCAGCAATTGCAAAACTAGGGAACATGTTTCCTTTTTTCAAATGCTCACAATATTGCCCTTGGCACCCCAAGGGCTCAAAACACACGAGTAGGAATTCCAAATATAGTCTCAGAAACTTCAGTAGTTTTCCTCATTGCTTTGCCAGACACTCCCTATGCTGTACAATGCACCAGAAACTCAAAAATATGACCCCTCAAATTACCCCAGTCCCAGCATCCTCTTGACCAGAAGACACCAGTGATAGCTCAGCTGCCCCCAGGTATCATTTTATTACTCTGATCAATGACATACAGGATATGCTTTTCCTCTTCAAGCAACATCTGCAATCAGCTTGTGTTTCCCAGCATTAAGCACCAGGGCAGTGTCAGTTATAAAACAAGACTTGTACATATGACAAGCTTCAAGCCTGCAGTTTGTTTTGTAAATCATGTGTAACTCTGGTTGTATTTAATAAACAGGAGAAAGAGAGAACTTTGCACATACTTTATGTAAAGTTTTATATACATTACTTTAAAGGTACTTCTATGCTAAGACAAGTCTCGGGTTTGGTTGTTTCAAGTCTACAGTTCTGTCCACAGGCTGGTAAAGCCATTATTTCCACAGAAACCTCACAGGAGCAATAAAAAAAAAATCCAAAAAACCCCACCTTAAACTGAAACAACCTATCTTCATCTGCATGCACACAGTCTTACTGAAAAATATGCATGCAATCAAGCCACAATTAGCTCCTGGCACTACCTGTGATGGCAGAGAGCACCTGCTGAGCACGAGGCTTTGAAAACTAAACATTTCTTTTGACTCTGGGCTCTGCTTTGGTTCTCTGCTTCCAGCCTGGAGTGAGCTGGAACTTCCATCACAGGAGCAAGGCTCCAGGACCAACAGTGCTGCACTCCTGGAAGCAGAAATGTTTGAGCAAAGGTGAGGAGGTCGGACAAGGGCAAAGTCCAAAGTAATTTTAAGTGGTTCAGCTAAGTAGGGAAGGCTAATGGGAAACCATTTTAATTTGTTTCAGTCATTCCCAGTGAGTAAAAGGACGTTTTCCTTCAGCAGCTTGATTACAAAGCAGTAAATCCCTCTGTGTATATAAAAGATCTGTGAACAGTATAGATCAAATGTCAAAAAAAGGTTTGTACTATATGTCAGGAACAGTTTTAGCTATTCAATCATTCTTATTTTTAAACACTTCCAACAATTATTCTCCCTCTAGAACCAGACCTATGTACATAATTCTGCCATTCTCATCCACAAAGACACAAAGTAGAGACGGTTTTTGCAGCAAATGTTTGTTGGACCTTCTCTTTCCAAAAACACCTACAAAACACAGTCTTGAACATAAAAACATGTCATTTCTCCATCCCTCCCCAAAACACTTTCTGAACTCTTGCTGGTAACAAAAATTTATGCTGCTTCAAGTAGTGGCTGCAATCTCTAATTGTCTGAAATGGGATGGAAAAATATTTTAAACAGTGAAAGATGCAGCTACTCAACTGCAGGTTCTTTTTAAAAAATTTTTTTTTTTTTTTTTTAGTCAGGAGTAGGATTTGTAGGCTTAAAAACAGAATGCAGCCACTAGGAATTATTAAGCTTTCCCAAAGCTTTGTAATTCAGAGGCAAACCCCAAACATTTGGTTTATTTCGTAACAAAATAATGACTTGGTCATGGTAATTTGTATCTTGTGTCCACAGTGTTCTATCTCTGGTCATGAGAAATAAATATTCTGAGGCAAGAAGCACTTTATTACATCTACATTCAGAGTAGGTTTTGGAACTCTACCTGCTGCTGTGATCAACAAGCACCAAATACTGTCTGACCAATAAAACACCTGTTTGCAAAGTAATTTCAGTACTGCACAATGAATAGTTCTGTCAAGTTTTTGGAAACCTTCTTGTATTGAGTCTGCCTTTTGACAAGGAACATCAGCCAGTCCTACAACTCTGGAAACCCTGAAGGTAAAAATCCCAACAGCTCCCAGGGACTACTTAGGAGAGATGTTACACAATGTCTTAGCACACACTTGCACCAGGACAAGGGGCCTTTACAGAGGAACAGCTCAGATGCAGGCTAGTGATGCTCCTTGAGAGCATTGTTCACCTTTACCCAACTAAAGGACACAACTTCTGCTGCTGGCAATGCATAACTCCCTCATCAGGCACTCATGCCAACACTTCTCAGCTTCAGTGTCTTGAACTAACACTGCCAGCTGCATCCTCAACCAGGTTTTGGACAGATCAGTTCTGTCTTTAATAAACTTTTCTACACAGCAGCAAAGTTGTAAACAGGGTAATTTTCTTAAACGCTGAATTTTTAAACTTTTAATCCATTTATCATCATTTAAAGAACTTCAAAGAAGTTTAGACAGGTTGATGTTGACCCCTGGCCAAAGCAGGCTTTAGTGTTTTTGTTCTGTCTGCCCACAGCACTGCCTGTCACTTCTGCTGGCTGAAATGCTCTTTGCTGTGGTTTTGCAGAGTGTCCCTCCCTGCTGTGGACTACACCCCCACAGTTGGGTTTCATCTCATCTATGGCTCTTTGGAGCTCATGGGGAGCAAGGGGAAGGAGCGAGAACAACAGGGGATGGGACCCAAAGCTAAATAAATCAACGTTTCTTTGATCCTCCAGGATCAGGATGCTGTAAAAACACATGGTTATTAGAGCTGTGAATTTATTGGTGAAGGGCTTGGTTACTGGCACTGCATTTCAGCGTGAACTTACATTATGGTACTAAGTACAAAGCACTCATTCTGTTTGTGGCTGTGAGGATTAATCTCTTCCATGTGCAGGGAGGGTGTGTGATAATTCAAGTGAGGTTCCTGTTGGTAGGCAGGGCAGGCACTCACCAGCTGCAGGGCTTTCAACAACACACAAGCACCAGCTCCGAGAGCCAGTGACGTGACCAACGCCCCTCCGAGAGCTGGGTCCTCATCCAAGGCTGTCAGAAACCTGAAAACCTGAAACTGGAAGGTGAGCTTCTCCCCAAACACCCCAAACACTTTACTCTGGACAGGATTCAATAACTAATGGGCTTTGAATGAAATTGTATGGTTCTAATACCCCAACGCTTGCCTCAATAGTAAAGGAAAGGTCTTATCCTGATTATTAAAAATGAAAAAGTAATTTGCAATGTTTATGTGGATGGCAGCTTTACATGCAGCGTAGAAATGCTCCAACCGGCTTTACAATCCAGCTGGAACAAAGTTTTCATTTTTCTTCTTCATGAAATTTCATTTATTATGAGCCCTGTGTCATTGTAAGGCAGCTGTTGGCAGCAAGCTGTGAAATTTAAGTTGAGCTGGTAAGCACTAAGAGCCAAGATGTAATATGCTTTTGTCAGAGAGAAGTTTTTCTTGTGTATATATAATCTACATTCAGTAATTAAAATAGTTTGTCAGTCAGTCCCAGCAACCCTACTGAAAGGAAGAGCTAAGGCTATTTTAAAATACGATTTCCAAATTGCAACCAAAAAACTGGGGTTGCTATAGCTCATTTCAGTGAGGTCTTTAAGTAGGTGATGCACCAATGACTTCAGAAACCCAGAAATTAAGGATTCCTGGTTTTCATCACTGTCCTACTTAACATGGGTTTAGATTTTGGGCAAGTCACTTGACAAGATTCCAAATGGGAATTAAATCGGGATCAGTGTGTTATTATACACTAAGGATGTCACACACAAAATGCACCTGGAGGAAATCCATTCTGGGCTTCCTACAACTGGGGCAAGAGCTCTTATCATTCAACACATAACCATGACTTCCCCCCACCTTCTCTGGCTGTTACAAAAGAAAGCAGCAGTAAACTCCACATCTTGCTCAGAACCTCCTCTGGAATGTGCTTGAGATGCACATTTCAAAAATATCTACCTAAGAGTGCCCTTGGGAACCAGGTGAAGGAGCAGGACAGGACTTGGCACATTCTGTTGGAAGTTCAAGCCAGGTATGGGTTGAAATTTTATAAACTAAGTGCATAAATAAAAGAAAACTTTAAAAAAAATGCCTGAAGTATTAAGCTGATCAGTCCTCAACAACTCCGCCTTGGAGACTGACTTCTTCCCCAAATTGTTGCCTGGGAAGTTATCAAGGGTAATTGCAGAAGTGCATCATCATTTATCTCAGGATTTGGTTAGCTTCTAATCACTGTAAACATTCAGAGAGTTCTCTGCTGACCAAAGATGCAGCCCTGTCCTGTCCCCAGCCCAGCCCGAGCTCCTGCAGTGACATGAATCTGTTCCAAGCCTGACCAAACACGCCTTTTTTTTTTTTTCTTTTCCTTTTTTTTTTTCTGGTTTTCTCCTCTCAGCTGGATCAGGGAGTGGATCCAGCTTGCAGCACGTCCAAAGGCACCAACACAGAGGAGGAGACAGAACACGCAGCCAGGCTGAGGAGGACACAGCCCTCAGGCAGATTAATCCAGCCTGGAAACCACACCTACAGTCTATCAACACAACTGCTTAAGGAGGGTCCCTCTCCTCACAGGGAAACAGTTGTAGTTCTAATGCCAAGGAAGACAATCTGCCCAAATGAGTCCCTTGCTGAGGTGACAGCTACCTGCACTTCCCTGTAAACACAGGATTACAATTAAATACTCCAAGAGAGCTGAAGTTGGCACCACTTTTACTATTCTGATGTTAACTGGCCAACAGATTACTTTAACATGGCTTTGAGGACTATGCTCACCCCACCTAAACCATAAACTACACTTTGTGCAGACTTTTGAGTCTGCAAGTCTTGATACCTCCTCTAGGTATTTGAGCACTTTCCTATCTGCAGGGGTACCAAAGCACTTTGGGGGTTTACTTCATGTCATGCTTACGCCTTGGCAGTCATTTACTGCAGCTAAAAACAGCCAACAAACTCTACTAGACACTTAGAAAATTAAATAGCATTTAGGAACTGGCAGGAGATTGCTCACTGATGTTTAGTATCACAGAACACAGTGGTTGGCTACAAGGGTACCTGCAAGCATTTCTGAGCTGAAGAAAGCTTGGCAGGTTCTTTTCCTCCTTGCTGAAGAGCTTTTTAATGAATAAGCACTGGGTTTTAACTCTTCTGAGGTGACACACATTGTTAAAGACAACTGGATTGTATCACCCTTGTATAAAAAAAATATAATAAATCTGTATCTGCCAGTATCTGGAGAGTCAAAATCCTCAGATCAAAAACGCACTTAGGATGTTCGTGGGAGATGAGAGCTGGTGGCCATCACCCCACGAGTGCTGCCTCGAAATACACACTCACAGATCCACAGCAACATGAAAATATAAGTCTGGCAAGAAACTGAAATGAATTCCACAATAAAACACACACGAATCATGCACACAACTAAAGATGGAAATTATCTTCACAGTCATTTACCTTCACCGTGGTGAGTTAACATTCAGCAGAACAAATCTGAGCAGAGTATTTTGGACATTTGCAGTCTGGGAGAAATATTTCTGTTAAACTCACGTCAGGATAACACAGCTTCCTTTCCAAGAGCTGATTATTTTGGGCTCTCCTAACTGAAGTGAAAAATGCTTAAGACTGAACACAAGCCTTGGTTGACAGCACTTAAGTGAGCCTGGAAATCTTCAAATTTACAGTGTTGGGAACTGCTGTGTAACTTCTAGGGTAAAGCTTCAGGGCAAAAGGGCAAAGCATACCTATACTCTGTCAGCTCTCAAGTTAAGGAAGTCAAATTTTGGCAACTAAACTCCAGCTTCCCTTTTGCATAAGTTACACACCAACATCTAAGCGCTGTCAGGGGACCACATGAAAAAACACCTCAACAAGTCACATCCCAGCTACTTCTCCTTCACTAATATTTAATTTGCAGAATACAAACCAAACTGTGCTCCCAAAGGTCACAAGGCTGTATCAGCCATTTCAGACACTACAAAAAACCCCATGACACAACTGGGAGCTTGATTTTCAGTGACGCTGAAAAAAAAAACACCCCAGTATACAGTAACCTTTAAGGGTTTATGCCAAGAATGATCACAGAATTTTGAGTTCCAGAGACCACAGGATTGCAGGTTCCATGCTACTTCTTCTGGTAATGGTATTTGCATCAACACAAAGAGCATCCACTTGAGGAAAGACAGAGAGCATCTTGTTGGCACAACAAACCCCTGTCATTAAAGGGACAGCTGGGCCATTAAGAGGAGGCTGCTGGGGGAGGCAGCACCTCGCTAGATTGGGTTTCAAACCAAGTTCTCCACGAGGTGTTGAGCAAAAGAGAATTGGCTGCAAGCAGCCTTGGTTGGTTTTGTTTACTGTGCAGTTAAAAGACCCCTGAGTGATTAATGAAGGACTGACAGTTTCTTTGCAGAGCAGCAGACAATATTTTGGGGCAAGACTTTGCCTTGTCAGGTTCAGCATAAAAATGCTTACATAGAGCTCTCTCCTGAGCTGACTGCTGATCATCAGCATTTGATGGCATGACCATCTCACCCATTTCTACACTTTCATATATGAATATTAATAGAATACACGCAAAAAAACCCCAAACTTATAAGAGACTTGGCCTCTGGACAGACAGGGAGGAGGACAGGTGACCTACAGCAGCCTTTCCCATCTTCAGAGCAGTCACAGATTTATGGCAGTTTAAAATAAAAAAAAAATCCGCTCTTAACAAAACAGACCTAGGAAATGTAAGATCCTGGACATGCAAAAAAATGTGTCCCCTGTTCAGGCATTCACATAAAAGACAGCACATGTAGCCACATGTTACTATACAAGTGCAATTAGATTATTTTCCATCAAAATCAAGTCTTCAAACATCAGTAAAGTACAAGTTCATTTTTTCATCCAGAATCATTTGTGCCTACAAGATGCCCAAACAGCCTTTTTCCATCAACTCAGAGACTTTTGAGGAAGTGGATCTAATTTTAGGTCTCAGGTGGGAGGCAGGACAAGCAAGGCTGACTGACCTTCTGTGTCACCCTTCCCTATCATACAAGGTGCTATATCTGGCAGCAGTTCCTGCTGGATGGGATGTGCAGTCACTCCAGATCACTGCCCTGGCTGTTTCCATCCAGCCAAGGTCGACCCACCACAAATGCAGAACTGTTTCTTATTCACCTCAGAGCTCTGATCGAAGAACACCCTATAAACGAAAGAAATGCAGCAAACCCCATGAATTTACCCTTTCCAACAATCTGCTCTTGACAGAACACAAAATCTTCCTTTTCTCCAACTAACCACAGAACAGCTGAGATCAAATCTTACTCACCAGCAAGAAACACAACTGTGTTAGCACGGCCTGGAGTCTGCAGGGCATGCCCTGTGACATAACCCCCTTCACCACAAAGCTGTTGGGCATGTTGCTTCCAACATGTACGTTCTGTGGTGCTGTACTGACTTCTCCTTCCCAAATCTCTGCCATCACTGCGGTCCTAACACTGAATCATCTCCTGTGCCACAGACATCTGCTGTGAACACGCTTCCTGAGCAACTTCTGGGGCTGCACTAAATGTAGGGGAAGAGTAAACCAGAAAGCCCTCAAGAAGCAAGACTGCTGCTGCTGCAGGGTCAGCAACTTGTCTTTTAAGAGAGGGAGAAATCCCTACTCTACTCTCCCCTGGCACCGTGAGGGCTCCTGCTGCCCCTCCTTACCCCGAGCTGTCGGAAGCGGCAGGAATGGAAGGGCAGGAGCAGAGTCCAACTTCTGCTACTGCTGCAAAAGGCAAAGTGATGACACCACGCAAGTGCCTGGACATGGGAACGCTTTTCTGCAGGGAAAAATGACTTGTCAAGGCCCTGATGTGGCAGAGAGCCTGTGAACCTCTGCTGCCAGGTCTGAGCTGTCGGCAGCCGCAGATAACCTCTCGAAGCTTCTTCATCTGAGCTGCGAGTCCCGGGTTCAGTTCACTTAACACCGTGATCAAGTGTAAAAGCCATCAGTGAGCAGAGTGTGAGTTTTGTTTTTTCTTTATTTATTTTTTTAACAACACAGTTCCTCCTCCAACGATCAGGACGTGCAGCTGGGAGGGGAACTGAGCGTCAGCCTGGGTATTGCTGCGTGTCACAGCTCCTCCTCTGGAGTCCTATCGAGTGACTTCCCTCCTCCAACGTGTCCTAATGAATTCCACCGAAGCCTGCAGGTAAAATCCTTCCCCAAGCACTTTGCCCTGATTGATAGCTTTAGAGCTTTCCTTCACCCCGCTCAGGCTGCTTTCCAGCCCTTTATTTTCCCCCTTTTTTTGTAGCTGTCTCCAACAGGAAGCTGCACTTGGTTTTTTCACTGTACGTTTCTCTTAAAACTGACATCTTTGCATTGTAATGAAGGAACCCCTGGGTATTAGTGACAAATTAGTCACCAGCTAGAGAATATTTTCTTTTCATTTCTATACCAGGTGGAAGATATTAAAATCTCTAGAGGAATTTCACCTACTCTGCTACAATAAATCATCACATAATTTTCTTTTAAAGTGACTTAATTTTACTACCTTTAAAACTTCATCACGAATAAGGAATCCCACAACTGTATTAATGTAAGATTAAAATAGTCTGGTGAACATGGTCAGGGTCACGTTGTCATAAATAGCACATGTTTAATTTCACTTTGAGAATTAATGTAGTTTTACTTTCACACTTTAAATGGTATTTTTAAAATACAGAGTTATTCCTTCCTGAGAACAAAACTCATGGACCTACCATAGGTAGAAGTTAGCAAAAAATCTTTTCCCTTCTTTGTTTCAATATCTCAATAGGGAACAGCATTTAAAAAATCTACAGAAAATACCACACAATCTGTAAGAAAAGGTCAAATCTTGAACTGGCTATTCTTTGTTGAAGAACTTGTAAAGTAGTAGCAAAAATAGAGAAAAAACCCACCAAACCCACTTAATTAGCTCACTCAAGTCACAGGCCACTCAAATACAGCAAAACATTCAGTGGAGGCAGAGATTTACCTTTTCCTCTTTTTTTCCTAGAAAGTGGTCAGTAACATCTAAATAATAATATATTATTTTAAAGTTGATACTCAAAATATTAACTTCACAACTATGCAGATTTTGTGTCATTTCAGTGGGGCTTTATAAGACAGATAAACCTCCATAGTTTAAAGCTAAACACTACACAAGTGGCTTACAGCTTCTGATTAATTGGCTTCACATACCATTATGTGCTCTTAGTCATCAATTAAGTTAATTTTCCATATTATAGCGGGTCCATTAAGTAACCCAGCACCAAAAAGGTTCATCTTACAACTGAAAGTCACACCAGGATCAAGCCAGAAATTTAAGAGTCCTGCCCCACAGCAAAGGGAGGGCGGGAGGTTGTCTATCAATAAATACAGCACACCAAGTCTACATCCAGTTGGTTCCTCCTCTATTTGCCAAGGAAAGAGAGGAGCAGAAGATCAATTAAAAAGCAGAAATGCAAAACCAGAACGTTAAACACTAGTAGATATTTAAGACCCCAGAGTGTTTCTGACAAGCACAGAGCATCATCACTCCCCAGCTTCTCCCCGGGGGAGTTCCAGCCCCGATAATTACCTTCTGTCTGCTCACAAAGTTCAAGTTCAAAACAATATTCATTCTCCACTTCCTGTCCTAAACCAGGGCACAATGCTTCTGTGCATCGTTAAGCAACCATCCTGCTCCACCACAGCTATGGTTAAACCACCACTGGGATTGAATAATCCTGATTTGTGGCAGGGGGGACTGGGGGAAGGAGAAGCACCGGGCGTTGGAAAGGAAAGAATCAGGCTCCAGCATCAGTGCATCTGACTTTTAGCAGTAGAATCCTTTATTACTTTCAATTAGAAACCAAGCATTTGTCTCCACACCCCTGATTTGCAGGGGGGCATAAGTGGTGTTTCAAAACTCACACAGCCCAGAAGTTTTGCTGCATCTCAAATGTTTTTCAGGAGACTCAGCTGGCTTCCTTAGTCCCCCTCCCCATCCATTTCTCTTCCCCAAATTATATTCATCTGCTGCAGGAAGCAGGAAGGATGGTTGCCAAACAAACAAAATCATACATAACAGGCTGAATGTGCCTTCCTGCAAACCACAACTTGGGGGTTTTCAGGTGAAGAGACACTGAAGAGGACAAAGCCATTTTTAGGAGAGACAGCAAAGGTCTGTCAAAGTGGTCACACAGAAGATAATCTTACATTGCCCTGTGCAAGGGTTACACGTGTTTATAACATTGCTGAATGATCATGTATTTTAGGTCAGAGACCCAAGTTTGCCTCTCATTCAGAGATAAATGAATTTTATTAAAACCAAGATTCCTCTAAAGCAGATATTTACACAACAGGCTACCGAGGCTAAACAGAACCACGAGCTTGTAATTTTATTTCAATAAATAAATAACTAAATATTTTTATTTCAATAAATAAAAAGAAAATTGGTGCCTGCCTTGTTTTCCACCAACACCCTTAGGGGCAGGAGGTCAGAGGAGGTGTGAGACCAAGGACCAAGTCACACCACTGCAAAGGGGTTTCAGTGCAGGATGTTCCATCCCCAGGGGCTGCAGAACCTCCCTCTCAGGGACCTTCCCACACAACTGGGATTTGTCAGCTTTTTTAACTGCTGCTGAAAACCTTTGCCAGGTTGCAAAGAGGCCTTTGAGCGTGCATAGCACAGAAAGATGGTGATTCCCAGCCCCGTTTTGCAAGGCTCAGGCACTGAAGAAATAAGTTGGACTTGCACTGGCAGCACATAACCATGCTGGGATTTAAAACAAAACAAAACAAAACAAAAAGCCCCCAAAACCCAAGAAAACTAAAAATGGCCTTGTGCAACAAGTACAGAAGATTTTCAACTGCTCCCACTCAATAAGGGTCCAATTTATTTGGGTGAAATTATTTGGAACACAAGGAAGGAGATTTATCTATTTTGCTACGAGGCTGACTTACTCCTAACTATCTCAGTGAAGAGGAGTAGTATTAGCATAGCACTTAAAAATGTAAGCTAGCAAAAACCATGGCTTTATAAACTCAAAAAAAATAAAGTCAGTCTATAAAAAAAAAAAGGGGGGGAAATTTGGATACAGTGAATTGAACGTTCACATGTTTTACTTTAAAATGTGTCATGTTTCAGAAAGAAATGGTGCTTTTTAGTTTGTTAAAGGGTGGAAAAAACAATCTCTCTTTTTCAAATAAAAAGTGTTGCTCAATTCTAGACAAGATTTTGTGTTGTTTCAGCCACAGTAATGGAGAAAAATAATAAATTTACATCGTTTACAAAACTGAAGTACACACTGTCAACATTTACTGAAAGTAAAGTATTTTGTAAATACATTTAGACTTGACCTAGAATCAAAGAACTGTCAGATAGTTACTGTAAGGATGGCAAGTGACCACAGAAGAGCAGTACCGGGGGGAATCCAAACCAGTGATACAGATCTATATTCAAAACTGATCAAAGTTATTCCCAAGTAGCTGCAGGACAATCACAGGGCACCACAGACGAACGAAATGTGCCACCAAAAGCCACGATCTGCAAGAGATGCCAAACTTGTCTTTCAGACAGCTGATGAGCCTCCCTGCGTGGTGCACAGACAGAGCTGTAAATAACTGGGGCCCCCAGCCCGCTCTGCTTACCCAACCTATTTAAAAAACAAAAACATTTCAGATGCCTGCCCCACTTTCCCCTCAGTGTTTCTTGTGGGTGCCTGAGTAATCTTGGAGGCATTTCTAGTTCTTAAGGCATTTGCTGAGTTTAAGAAATTCGCCCCACGTCCCCCCGGTCTTTGTTTGGAAGTACCCGGCTTTGCTGCTCTGGTGGAGTTTCTCCTTGAGGTCTGTCCTTTCCAGCCCAGAGAGAGGCATCAGCTCTCGGTGGGTTAACCACTTACTACCTGGGCTGACCAGTATTAAATCATTCTTTTTATTTAGGGTTATTTATTTACGTAGCTGGGCTGCTTTCCTTCTCAAAAGCAGCGGTGGCAAGCGAGAATTTCTGCAGGACAAGACTGAGCACCTCGAGTCAGGCGCTCAACCAAACAGCACGAAATTACCCGTTTTCTTAAGCCTTTCTGCACATCTAAGAAGGGGCAACTGAATCTGGAACTTGTTTCATTTTGCAACCCAAAGAAGTAGGAGCCCACAGCCAGGAGCAGGCAGCAGAGAGAAAACCTGTTTGTAGAGAGAGACGTGGCTCTGGCCAAGCTTGCAGTTCGTAGTGCTGGTTCATGCAAAAACACTCCCAAAGAAGTCTATTATTGCTGAAATAATTCAAGACTTCCATTTCCCTGAGTTATTAAGTGGTGCTGCAGCAAAGGCAAGCTGAGCTTCTCTCGTGCATCAATTTCCTCCCCAAAAGCAGAGGGGAGATGAATGACACGAGCATTTCACGCAGCACTCACTCAAAGACACGGACGTGAAGAAACCTCAGGTTTGTAACCAAACACTTTAAACCTTCATTTCCTTAAGAGGAAACCAGCTGGGAATAAGTTAGAAGTGGGCTATCATCAGGGAAGTTTCTAACATCTGAACAGCAAACTGCAGTACGTTTCTACCGCTCCCTGTGCATCAGTAACAAACCCTTCACCTGCCTTTCAAATCGCCCAAATCATATCCAGGCTCTCCCGGCCTCAATCCTATTTTCACTCTTTGTATTCAAACCTGGCAGCAACAACAGAAAAAAAAAAAACAAACCCAACAACAAAAAAACCCCACAACAACCCAGCAGTCTCACAAACAACAAAATCCCACACCCCAACGAAGCACGCTCCCTGCTTCTACCAAATAAATGTCAGTCAACAAATGGGCACAAATTTCACAATGGCTGAGGTCATTCCCTTTAAGTCATTACGGTTGGTGGGTGAGTTTTCCTGGTGGTTTTAAACATTGGTTTCTGTGATTGCAGCTATGCTTATTTATGCATTTAAGGCGTATGATCTAATACACTTAGGTTTAACTACTTCATTCTTTTGACATTCTTTCCAAATTGTAAAAAGGATTCTTGGTGTTTTCACTGCCTTGGTAAAGAAACAAAATTGCTGTCCACATAATTTCTTAAAAATACAGAACAGAGTAAGTACTTGTTGAAAATAATTCAAAGGAAAAAAATCCTACACCAGACATTCCCTCCTCCAAGATAACACTTATTTTTGTTCTCTCTCTCCCCTTCTGAGGGAGTCTTACTATTTTTTTAGAAATAGCTGTTTTGCTGGCTTTTTAAAAACAATATCCAGGCCTTCAGATTGCTTCAGCTACAATTTATAATCCACACAGAAATTCAGTTTATTTTTTTTAAGCCTTTCTATTTTTACTGTTATGCTTTAAAAAAACTTGTGGTACACTTCACTCACATTGCATCTTCCACAGCACTCTGAACTCTACACTAATGCTCATTTTATTCAACACCGTCTGGTTATTATCTGCCTGTGGTTCTTGCTTGATAAAAATCACAGAAATTAATTTTCTTTTTTTTTCCAAATGGAAATTCAAACTATCTTCTCCTCCCTCAAAGGCACAAGAAGACCAAAGAGCCCCCACCATCCAAATCAGGCTGGAGAAAATCACTGACTTGTCAGAAACACTTTCAAGAAGCTGAAATAAAAATTAAAATTGTGCATAGAGATGTGTGTGAACATCTCTCTCCCAGTACTGGGTGCAGTGAGTGGCTATTAGTTTCTACATGTAACTCATATTAAAACATTTCAAGTAACCTTTTCAAACTCGAGACCATGGTTACTTCTGTATTTCCAGTGTCCCCTATACAGTTTCACGTATCCAAGTACATTTTTATCAACAGGAGGACGAGAACACCCCACCAGCTTCTTGGAGGAAGAAGGGCCTGATCCTGCAGACGAGGTGCCACCTCTCACAGCTCAGCCCAGCATCACCACCAGGTCCAGCTGTTCTGAGTCCAACCCTGACCCAGCCACACCACCAAAACACTATTTCCCTGGCACCCAAAACGCTCTCAATGTCCCAAGTCCATGTCCTGTGTGCCCAGTTCTCTCCAACACCTCCACTCACGGCCCCACGCGCTTTGCGGGCACCCCAGCGGCGTCCGGGGCTCCCCTCCCGCCCCATCCTCTGCAAGCCTCCTTTTCTGATGGAACCCCAACTAAAACAATCAAACCCCTCCCCATAAACCTTACCTCAGCCCTGCAGGCTCCTGGCTTTCCACAGAGCCCCTCTGCCCAAACACGGGGGAAAACACCTCGGCACGGCACTAAGGGAGCACTTCCCGCGCACGGCGGAGGTGACAAACGGAACCAGAGCAAAGCCAAGATGCCATCTCGACTTCAGGCAAACAACCCCTCCTGACCTCTGGCAGCTCCCACACACACTATTAAACAAAAAGTATTCTCTCCATGTTAATGAACCATGTGCAATCTAACAGATAACGCTGATGTTAAATAAACATGTTTATGTGTGACTCCTAATGCCGGGACTTAGGCAGCTGCAGACAAATAATTTTAAATGGGAAGGATTATGCCCATGTAATCTTTCTCATCTCATTTTACACACTTTTGAAATAATTCAAATACATCATTAAAGCCCAAGTAGAAAGACTGAGCGACAGGAGGTTTGACTATTTTTAATTAAACATTCACTCTGTGACAGCACTCGCTGGAACCAGCTCTGCAGCAAACACTATTTGGGATCCAATTTTCCTCTTGCAGCAGTAAATCAAGAACAACTGAACAGCTTGATGAAGAAGGGAACCGGATCAGGTTTTGGACACCATGATAAAAAAATATTTTGCACAACGACTGCAGAGTCCTAAATCCTTATTCCCACTTTCTCCTCTCTCCTGCTTCAAACCTCTGGCAGCACCAAAACTACCAAGAAATGGCAGCACCTCCAGGCCCCAAATGACCCAATCGAGAGAGCAATTATTTGCATCCTAATTGAGGGGCTTATCCTCACCTGATTAAAACAAGGTGTTTGTTAAACATCATTACCCGAGTTAAGATCTGCAAATAAAGATGGAGTATTGTTTTAAGAATTTGACTGCCATGAACAATTCTTTTGTGATGAGATCTCTTAATGAACAGTCCCAACAAGGATGGTCTTTCTGGTCTCAGAAAAGGAAGCAAAAAGATTTGAGAAGTTCTCCCTGTTCATACCAAAGTGAATACAATGCCAAGAGGTTTGAATACTTGTATTTTTTTTGAAGTAAACATACATTTTAAAAAAAATAAATCTTGTACTTTTTACTAAATTAAGCCACTGAAAAGTAAGATGTATTTAAAGCCTGAATGGCTTTACTTTTGTATATGCTATTGTTTATAAATCTTAACATATTTTCTGTTCCTTCCTGGTATAACTATTTTTGTGTCCCCTGCAATACAATGTGAAATTTAATGAAAAGAACCTGATTGTTAGTCCAGGAGACTCCATCATTCACTAATCAAGTTTATATTGCTATTGCTGTGAAAAATACACATGTATAGGGTAACTAACCACACACTGGAAACAGAGAATGAGATTTCCCCACTTGATCTACCAAATGAGCCCTCCACTTACATGATATATTTAAAATCTTCATATTAAAACTGCATTGTTCCATGGCTTATAAAAGGGATTTGAATTTGCAACCTCATTTAACAGTCTGTCCCGAATAAAAGTTACCCCCGCAAGGCAAAAGTAACTCAAAAATATTTTCTTAGCGTTCTAAGAAGTTCTGCTAGCTTTCACAAATTTATAAAAGCATTTTTCACTGCCTAAGTAATCTTAACAATCATTTCCACAGATTAGGTCTAACAACCTGTGAATTTATTGCAGAAGGAATTTACTGCAAGGAATAATTAGTCTTCAGCACTGTTCATGCTTGTTCCCCGGCTGAAGACACCTTAAGACCATCTGGTTACTGCAAAATCTGGCACAGAAGAAACAAATCTTACTGCAGAGAATTATAGCTGATTTCAGAAATAGCTGCTTTACTGCTCCACATCATAAATAACAGTTGGGAAGACAGCAGAAAATTACGAACGTCTTTAATTGTTTTCTTTGTCAGCAGTGT